GGGTGCATGCACCCTGAATGCACTAATAGGTTGATTACTGCATCAAAAACTTTCAAAAAGTGTAGGCATGACTTGTTCCCATAACCACTGGCAGTATATACTTTTAGATACCGGTAGGTTGTTTGAGAAAACAATCACACTCCCCTGTGTTCTTTAGAAGACGTCGGGGAGAATCTACTGTACTTCTGATAATAGTAAAATGGACGGTAGAGAGGATTAACCCATTGAGTGGCAGCACTCTCCCCCTGATGAGTAAAATCGTCTGGCGTTAGGCAGAGTAAAATAATAAAGTGGGGCACGTTGCCACTTAAAGGGTTAACGGGGTGCATGGTCAGATAGTCTGATTAGCCCATTGAGTGGCAGCACTCTCCCTCTGACAAGTAAAATTGTCTGGCGTTAGACATAGTAAAATAATAAAGTGGGGCGCATTGCCACTTTTAGGGTTAACTTCCAATTTCCTGTATCGGGGACTTAAAGGTGTAGATGTTTTCTGAAAGTCCATGGTCCAATACACTTTCCAGTCAATGTCTTGAATTTTTGTTGCCCAAAAATTGTTAATAAGTAAAATAAGTAAGTTGTGATAGATTATATTAATTACTTAATTAGGTCTTGTAGTAGCAAAATGGCTTGGTTATTAAAAATATGTCACATCTCCTTATATAAATTATGCTGCATAATCTATTTGATTTTCAGAAATTATATCAGAAATACACATCATTACAAAAACTGGTCAGTCAGCTGCGTGAAGAGATAAAAGTGAAGAATAAGACAATACTTGAGTTACAAGAGAAATTAAGTGAAAAAGTAGGTTCACATTATGATGCTCATCTAAAGAAATATTAAGTTATTAACCTTTAGTTGAAGATACTTGTTTTAGATCAGTCATTCAGTTAACAAACTTGGATTAAAATACTTTGAAACTGGCGGGTGTCCCAAAAAAACCTGGACACTATCACTGTTTGATTTCATGTAACGTAAAAGCTATAAAAGCTATCGCAATGAAATAAAGATCATTGGATTCAGAAAGGACTAACTTAGATTTGGATATACAGCACTTGAATTTACATGCAATATTGAGGGAGATACAACCAAAATAAAAATATTTATTATTTAATTTAATACATCGGTAATTATAAGGTTGTTTTATGCTAATTTTTGGCATTTTCAGAAACAGTAGTTCAACGTTCGAACATCAATAGCGCAGTCAATATTGCATGTAAATTTAAGTGCTATATATCAAAATCAAGTTAGTCCTTTCTGAATGCAATGATCTTTATCGCATTGCGATAGGTTTTATAACTTTTATGTTACATGAAATCAAACATTGTCCAGTGTTTTTTTTTCGGACACCCGTAGTTGTGGGAAACTGTTAGTTCCATCAACCCTCCCAGAAACCTTACTCACCCATATTTGCCTTCAATCTTTGCCATTCAATCTCATTCCACATTTCTCAAGGAAGAGGAATATAACAAGAGTCTAGAAAAATACAAAGAAACGATTTCACAACATGAAAGCAAAATTGAGAGTTTCTATGAACAAATGAAACAACTGAAAGATGCAATAATGGAACGAACAAAAGAAATGGATGGAGTGAGAATAGAATTGACAGAAACAAAGAAAAAATGTGATGAACAAATAGAAAATATTTCAAAAGAGGTGAATATTATTTCGGGAAGGATTAAGATATTGCAACTAACTTTATGTATACTAGATAATTTTATGAGTTCTAAACTGTTTTCTCTAGAGTTCTATACTAAGAGCCATTCAGTATTGCTACAGAAAGAAACTTAAAATAAACTAACTTTATTTTTACAGAAAGCTGTGGATTGACATGGATGCATCTACCCTGTCAATCCGCAGTTTTAATATCATGCACTATCTGCGCTGGCATACACCCAGGGGCAGGCTTTTAGCCAGGGTCCTAAAAGAGGGCGTCCAATTTTGGTACAAGGACACATCTACAGTAAAGAGGGGGGGGGGGTTGAGAACGTTCTTTCCTGGAAACCTTTGAAGTTTACGTTACTTCATGTCAGTATCTGTTCCAAGCTCGTTCGAAATTCTTCATTTGTCAAATGTATAATAATAATAATGAGAATT